GAATGGGTGCCAAACAGGGGCTAACATTGGTTGAATGCTGTCTTTAGGGTCTTGTCAGTCTTGTTATTATGCTAAGTATTCAAAATTTTACGTAAGAGCTGTTTGGGGATTGTAAAGCTGATGTAGGATCAAAGGGAATGTTCAGTAGAAGATGAGAATCGAAGAAGAGCAAAAGAGGCGGCAACTGAAGAAGAAGAGCCACTTCTCCATCACATTTTTGTGTAGCCACTTCTACGTAATTCTAGAGTCCGACCTCTCTAAATTAATAAGGTCCGTTGCATAGTAGTTTATTAATTAGCAAAAATTACTGATTGACAGAACATATCCTTTAAAAAAATATTTTATGTAAATTTCTTAATGTCACTACATACTACTAGGTAGGGCTGTAGATGGATCGATTATCGAATATGGACCGGATTTGCCCATATCCGATCTGATAATTCAATGGATATTTGATTGTTAAATCCATATCCGATTTGTTATGTTNCAAATGGATCGGATATGGATCGGATCTGCATATATCCGATCCGATCCGATAATCCAACGGATATTTGATGGCTAAATCCATATCCGATTTGTTATGTTATTGGATATCCGATCCAATAATCCGATCGAAATATTTTACATATTCTTTTTTTTGTTGGAAAGAGGAGATTCTCAATCTCAATACAAAATTTATTATAATATATTTAATTTTATATTGAAATTTGATTGGTCTGACATTCTTCATTAAAAGTCATGAAGTATAATATAAGTTTCAAAATTAAAAAATTAAGTGTAATAAATTATGCAGTAATATACAAAATATATTATATTGTTATAACAAATCGGATCAGATTGTTATCGAATTGGATTGATCTATATCCATATTTGCTCCATTAAGCTTATCGAATTCAGATTTTGATCAGGTTATCGGATTGAGATCCTAAATCCATTTGTCATTAATTTCATTGGATTCGGATAAGATTCAGAACAAAATACAATCTATTGACAGCCCTACTTCTGGTAGTTAAAAAGACTTCATCAATGATAATTTAATCTTATATATTCATTATTTGTAAGATAACAATGCGCTTGTTATGCATCTTCAATAAAAAATTAAATGCAAGAATGGTACCTATCTCCAATAAAAAAATTATATGCTACAAATATGAAAAGACCAACATCAATAAAAAGTTGAATCTATAAAATCTGGAATAGCGGAAGTTTATTCTAAACTTCATCTACCCAATTATACCTAGTCATTTCTTCCCAAAATGAAACCTTTTTCTTCACTCAACAGTGCTCAAGGACGTACAATTTTTGCACAAAGTAAGGAATACCTCCATCACACAGTCCACCCTTGT